CTGCCACCACCTCCCTGGATCTGGGCCGCCTCCCAGAGGGCACAAGGAAGAAGGTGCATTGTAACATCATGGGTGTGGGACCTGCTGGGATGCATTGCTACCTTCGCAGTCGCTGCTTGCTTGAGGACTGGAGCCCACAGTGCTGGTGCTGAGCAGGCCCCTGCCACTGGAGCACCCCCATGGTCTCTGGGTGGGCGAGTGTGTCTTTGCCGCCACCAGGCCTGTGTGACTGGAATCCCACGGAGCGTAGCTGCTGCCTTGGCTGCCTCTGCTTTGGCTGCCTCCCCAGATCTGGTCCATGTCCCAGAGTGAACGAGGAAGAGGGTGTACTGCAGCATCGGGGACACAGGACTGGACCTGCTGGGATGCATCGCCATCTTCACATTTGATGCTCACTTGAGGACCTGAACCTGTGGTGCTGGCACTGAACAGGCCTCTACCACAGGAGTGCCCCCGAGATACCCTGGGCAGGTGAGGGTGTCTTCGCTGCTGCCAGGCCCGTGGAACTGGAGTCCCATGGAGCCACTGCCACCACCAACTCTGCCTCTGCCAGCTCCCTGGATCTGGGCCACATCTCACAGGGCATGAGGAGGGCACATTGCAGCATCATGGGCACAGGAATGGACCTGCTGGGATGCATTGCCGCTTTCGCACTCGCCACTCCCATGAGGACCCAAGCCCAAAGCACCAGTGCTGAGCTGGCCCCCCGCCACCAGAGCTCCCCTGAGGTCCTTGGGCAGGTGAGTGTGTCTTCTCTGCCACCAGGCCCATGGGACCGGAGCCCCACGGAGCCACCGCTGCAAATGGAGCCCAGAGAAGCTGCTTCTGAAAACACCTCTTCAGACAATAATCAAAAATATAGAACCAGAACTTTCTGGTTTCCTGCTGTGATTGACCAGCTTTGAGGAATTGGGCCTGCCTACCTGTGTCCTGAACCCTGGACTGGGTGGCCTGGGGTGAGTGTCCCTGCACCACACCGAGCCCCTGGAAGGGAGTTTAAAGTACCTCAGATAACAGCAAATTGTGGAGGGCAGGAAAACCCCAGTTAGCACACTTCAGAAAGACTCTAAGCAATACAGAGAGGGCCAGAAACTCCCCGGACACACCTGTCTGAAAGAAACCAGAAACATGACAAGAGATAGAAATAAAAAAAAAAAAAAAAAAACCCAGCCACTGACCCTGGAAAAATAAGCCCAGAAGAGATAAATACAGAAAAGAAGCAGTGCAGTAATCATGCATTATTAGATACAGCATCAGCGGACATAAATACCTTCATGATCTTATAGACAAATTTAAAACTGTACTTCTGATCCAAGTGAGGCATGATATAAAAAGATTAATTAAAGAAATGATAAGCTACTCCCAAGAGAATACAGATGGAAAAATGGAGGAATTCAGAAAAGGAAGAGAAACATTTCATGAAGAATATCAACAAAATCTAGAATACATGAAACAGATCCCAAGAGACTATCAGGAAACTAAAAACTCCATTGAATGCTGGCAAAGTGCCTTGGCAGAAACTAAAGTTAGCCTTTTGAAACTTGAAGAGAGATTTACGGTGTGTGAGCGTGAAAGAAAAGATCTCTTAAAAATAACAAGGAACCAGGAAGAAACAATACAAAGGCTAGAAGATGACAAGAGGCTTTATAACTTAAGAATAAAAAAAAGTGAGAAAAAAGACAGGAGTAACTACAAATGAACTACAAACAATATTCACAGATACAATTAAGGAAAACTTCCCAAGCATAGGAAAAAGAAATGATATCCAGATAAAAGAAGCATACAGAACTCCAGCCACCTACAACCAAAACAGATCTACACCCAGACATATAATAATCAAGATTCCAGAAATCCACCAAAAGAGCAGAATATTAAAAGCAGCCAGAGAAAAGAAGCAGATTACCTACAATGGAAAAATTATTGAAATAACCACAGACTTATCAACACAAACTCTCAAATCGAGAAGAGCCTGGAGGGGAAATAGTCCAAGCCCTGAAAGAACGTAACCTCCAACCAAGACTGATGTACCTGGAAAATCTCTTTCTCAAAATTAATGGGGAAACAAGATGTTTCCAAGACAAGGAGGAACTGTGGGAGTTCATGGCCACCAATCCAATCCTACAAAAAATGCTGAAGGACATTCCAGAGGTAGAGAGGAAAAAACATCAGGATTCCAGCAACAGTGGCAGAGAGGCCTCAATGAATGGGGCAGACAGTGGAATGAAGGAGTAAAGTGGACAAATAATGACAGAAGAATAAAAGGGCAGGAATGAGGCAGAGACAGTAAGCTATAATCTTTAATATAGATAGCCTAGATACACTAACAAAAGAAGAAACACAGGCAGAGTAGATTAGGAGGGAGGATCCATCAAGATGCTCTGAATAGGAGATGCACTAACCTGAAAGAGGGCTAGTAAATTGAGAGTCAAAGATGAGAAAGCAATGCTCTATGTGACAGGAAACCAGAGAGAAATACGGACAACTCGTCCAGCAGCTGCAGATAGGTTAGAAAGACATGACATTTTTGGGCAGTGTAGAACTACACAGCTGGAAGGAAGGAAAACCTTGTGACTTTAGTAAGTAAAGGAGTACAGCTCAAGATCAAACTCAGGGGTAAAAAGGTTCAGCAACACTAGATAGATAACAGGCTAGCCCTGTAATCTAAAAGCTAAAAAAGCTAGTGGGACCCAAAATATACAAAGCTCCCTGAGAAAGGGAAAAAGGAGGAACTGTCTAAATAGGAAGGCAGAAGACATTGTTAATAGTGTATCAGGATTTAAAAGTCACAGTAGTCTTATCACTCTGTTTAGTTTGATTATATTTTGTTCCAGTCTGTCTACTCATATTAAATTTGAGGGCACAGACAGCTAACCCAAAAATAGAAGATTATACCATGGCAACTATCTTTAATTTCTATTATCTGACACTGAAACCCTGTATTACTTACATTGTCTTACTATGGCTGATCTTATTTGACACTGGCTTGTTAGACCACTGTTTAGCCTTGACTGATTTCATTTGAATTTGGTATCCTTGATATTATCAAGTCTGGGAGTGGAGACAACTACTCTGAAGATGACAAGATGTAAAAGATATCCATTCTGGTTTTAATTATTCACTGCTTTAAAGTCCTACAATATCTTCAAAGTTGTGTTTTTATTAAAATAGCTATGTAATTTTATGTCCAATTATATTATGCCTGATGATGTGGACAATTCTATTGAAAATAACAAGAGAAAGCATAGTAACTACTGCAGATCACCTAATATCGTGGTCCTATATGTCTTTTTCATTTCATGCTTTTCTAGGAATATATTTTGTTGTCTTGTTTTGATCTGCTTTCCCCTATAATACAGAAAGGATAGATATACATACAGAGATTCACACATGGGAAGAATTTCTAAACTATTTATGTGAACAGATTATATAATATACTATATAATGAACGGATGCTCTGAAGAGACACTAAGAAACCCAGTGCTAATTCTGTGGCATTATGATATGAAATCTAGCAATACTATAATTAACTATTCAGAGTGATATTAGTCTAGTCTCATGTTCAATTTCAGCATACATAAAGATAAAGACAGCTACTATGAAGAGACTGAGAAACATAATGGTAGACACTATTGACTTCCCCCAAATCAGGTTTTGAAGACCTAAAAAGCCTTCATCATCCTGTAATTATCTGATTAGTTCTATAATGTTTAGTATTTATTCAATGTGTGAAGTGGTGGACAACTATTTGGAAGAAAACTAGAATAAATAAGATAGACAGTGAAGATCTCTTGTGGACTTGCTTTGAAATCTGTTTCTTTAAAGTGTTTCCTTATAAACTGTTTTGTTCTGTTTTGTTATGTTTAATCTTAACCTCTTTAAGATAAAAAACAAGTGTGTAGGACTGATAACCATATTACTAAGTTCTTGTTAGATCATTGAGCAGAACTGTTTGCAGTGTCATTGTTTGAGTATCACTTTATATGCTTTAATTTTGTAACTTGAGCAACTATTTCTAAGATGATGGTATGTGACTTACTGACTGGTGATTTCTTACTGTTTATTTTTCTGAAATTCTGTATTGTTTCTACCCTTTTTTCTGTTTTTTTTTTCTTTAAATAAGAAAAATTTACCTTGTAATTTACATGGTGGAGAGACAGAATCAGTATAGAAAAACATGACATACATACACTCACATGTGTAGGATGAGCTTCAAAATTTTTGATATTTTGAAGGTTTTCTTTGAGGGCAGGTCAAATGCTGTAAGTGAATGTTGAGCAATTATTTACTTAATTATACTGGACTTTTATAAAATGTTATTTAAAATAGATGACTAGAGCTTAGAAATATTTTCTAAATTTTAAACCATGTTTTGTTACATGAATTCTACCTTTATATTTTGGTGAGGCATAAATTTTTTGCAACATAGAAAAATTCATAGCATATTTATAGGTAACTTGAAATTTAGAGAATATTTTGGAGTCTTTACACGAAGGAAAAGCAATTCTTTTCAAAAGCTGATCACAAGTAGTAGAATAGGTCTGTGTCACCATCTCCCTAAGTGTAAAAACAGAAATGTTAATGGAGCTCTTAGCATGCTGTAGGGTTCCCAATGACAGCTCTTATAATCACATAGATTCAACAGTGACAAGAAATAGTCTTTGCATAACATGAATTCCACTTATTCTGATGCAGACATTGACACAATTGCAGTATTACACTCTAAGTCAATAAAAACCAATAGATAAATGTTTTTCACTTTGAAACTATAATCACTGTATACCAACATATCCCTTTCTTTTTTAAATTTGATTTTCTTTGTTTTGTGTTTCCAATTCTTCTCCAGTAAAATGTATAATAGCAGTGACAACTATTCAGTTTTTAAAATAATATGTGAGCAAGCAAATCAATATATCTGGATTTCATATCTGATTTGGCATCCCCTTTCTCTTTTAAATAATAATTCATTTGAAATACACATAAACTCAATTGCGCCACTCAAAATGCCTTTAATGAGTGCGGGGAAATACCTTGTACCTTGCAACCTTTTTTGTGGGTTGCTGGTTTAATACTGCACCATTTAAGCCCTTTATAATTAGTAGTTGTTCCAATTCATTCAGCTGATTTTGCATGACTTTGAGATTCACCAATATTCTCTTGCGTAGGGTCATCGAATGTGGGAAGTGCTTTAACGTATCCTGAGAAAGATTCTTGACTGAAGGTTTGGAAGTACTGCTGTGACTTGAGCAAGTACTTGTTTTTATCAGTGCAAGAGCAGTTGAATTTGATGACAGTCTACTATAGAGTCTCTGTAAAGAAAATTATACATATGTAGTCTGTTGAATTTAGCAATTTCCAAATACTACCAAATAACAACTTGTTTACAAAAGATGAACTGATTTTTCCTAAGAACTAGAGATTAAAAATGTAAATGACTACACTGATCCAGTAGTAATATGCTCTGCCAAGAGCAACACTAAGAGTAAAATATATTAACATTACCTTATAGTTTCAAAGTGTCATATCCTTTACTTATGTTCTGTACAACTACAGAAGTCTCCTGTCTTTGACCCTTATCTAAAAGATTTTCACTTCCAAGTATAAAATAACACCAGAAAACCACTTTTGAACTTGAAATATTTGTGAATGTTGTATCCAAAAAGCTCTCACAGCGGTAGCAGGAGAACCAAAGAGGAATATGGGTAAATAAGAGAAGTAAAAGAAGGGCAGAGCAGATAAAGTTTCTTAAAATGGGACATGATGGCGGGTGGTGGGCGTCTTCGGCTGCATTTTTTTTTTCTCTAGTTGCATGAAAATGAGCTCAAATCACTTACTGACTTGGGACTATTTTCCAACAAATCACAACTCTGGAATCTATGTGCAAAATGGGGACTTAAGGGGTAAGGTAATTGAAGTCTGGACACTTTCAACAGAAAGAGATAAGGTCATATTTTTACTTAACTATCTTTCCATTATCCACCAAACTCATTCCTCAGTCTGCATATCATTCAATTCTGGGACTTCTTCAAAAGAAAAAGATAAGTTCATATTTTCACTTCCCTATTTTTCCATTATCCTACAAACTCAATCACAGCCTTTTGTATTCATCTAGCTTCACTTAATTCCAGTCTCTCTTACCTTTATCTGAAATCGCTTTTTCCAGAACAAAAATGTGAAGCAAAAAAAAACTGCGCTCATTAGCATCAAAAGGATGGTCATGGTTTCTCTTTTTTCTCCCTTAGTACAGAGGTTCTGGGTTTGTACTTGCGAAGCAGGGGATGCTTAGCTGCGCAGAGTGAGGAAAGCGCAGACTGGCGTGGTGGACGTCCCTCAGTATTTGGTGCAACTGGGACTGCACTGAGGAGCTGTGCTTTATATTGAGGTGTCAGCGTGAAACCTCATAATTGTATGCTCAGCTAAGGGGCACTGTGACACAATCGGTGACTTAGAACCTGGCTCAGAGGAGGCCAGGTTGCACTTAGTAAACGCCCACTTAGTTACTGCGTCAAATCTTTGAGAAGAGAATTAAAAGACACTGAAGGAATTTGAGAGCCCCACGAAGCTGAAATATAGTAGAAGTACACACTGCAAACAGCCTAAAAGAGAGGGGAGGGCAAGAGGAGAGAGGGAGGGGAAAGGGAAGTAATAAGTGTTAACATAGCTCATGCACAGGAACCTAGTAACCCTACCGCAGTGAATGTAAATATTATTTTATAAACATGAATTAATAATAACAATAAAAATAATAATGAAAATGGGGAAAGGGGATTTAGAAAGGGAGGGTCAGAAGTGGGTGGGAATGGAAAGGGAATTTAAAAAGAAACAAGCTGTGTTTTGTACATGAATCTTTTCCCCGAGATGAGTATAAACTTCAGATACTTCAAACACATACTAGTAACATTTTTAAAAATTACAAAAATTTTTAAAAAGTTTTAAAAGTTGCTTTTCCTTCTTTATTTTTTCTTTTTAAAATTATGGCTGTCTTTTCTGCAACCACACCATTATTCATTCCAAAAATAAGATAGAAAAGTTTGTAAAAGTAGTTACCCACTAATTGTAAGTCATTGTCAGAAAAAATACCTTCTACACAGTCCTATTTTTATTTTTAGGATTTATTCCAACCTTGGTCACATTGGAATAATTGTACGTTTCTGTTATTTTATAAATAAAAAATTTTTTTCACAGACATATTCTCATATAATCCTGACAATAAATTTGTATTGTATGTTTAATATTGGATTTATTTTTGCAGACACAAAAACAGTTTCAAGTGTTTCAAAAAAAGTTTTAAGTATTAAACTCGTCTGAAATCACTAACAAAAGCAGCATTTGGATGGTACAATTTGAACTCTAAGATAAACTGTCCCGTTCCTTCATTCACACCCCTAAAATCTCCTCCACTCTGATTTGTGAGCATCAGGTGTTTAATATTTTTCAGCCAAGATACGTAAGTCTATTAAAGGAAGGCCCCAGCTATAGGAATCATTACACTAGAAATAAAATGCTCATGAAACTCATTTAAATGTGGGAGATGACAACTAAACTGAAGATTCAGAAATAAGAGCAATAACCAGGTGTGATGGTTTGTATTTGGATGTCCTCCCAAAGCCTTATGCAGTTATGGAGGGGGGTAGGCCTTTCAAAGGTGGTTGAGTGTAGTATTTGTGATTGGTTTGTTGTCTAGCCCTGGAATTGATGATGTGGTCACTGCACTTGCCCAGGGGCTGGTAGCCAGCATACAACATGAGAGGAAAGGGGGTGTGCTTTTTTTTTTTTTTTTTTTTGGTCTTTTTTCTTTTTTATCGGTACCAGGGATCGAACTTGCGACTGCCTGCTTGCAAGGCAGGTGCTTATGCCGCTGAGCTAAATCCCCAGCCCCGGGGGTGTGCTTTTTAATTTTTGCTCTTGTCAGCTTTATACTAGCTGCCATCATGAATGGCTGCCCCTATGCCATGCCACTCTGCCTTGGAGCCAATTGAATATGGACTGAAACCTAAAAATTATAAGGTACATAAACTTTTCCTTCCTTTATTTTGGGTGTTGTATATTTTGTCCCAGGAACAAGAGAAAAGTAACTGAGACAGGGCAACCTCAAGGTTAATGTCAAACAGTAAGCTGTAACTCTGCTTGAGGAACAACTTTCATATAGTTTATTGGTCAGCTTTCCTGTTGCTGGGACAATAAACTCAATACCTTAGAGGAGAAAAGTTTTAGGTTATCTCACAATTTCAGATGTTTCAGGCCATGATTGGCTCACACCAAGGCAGGAACATCATGGCAAAAGGGCAGGGTGCAGCATGATAGCTAGAAACAGAGAAAAGAGGAAACAGATCAGAGAGGAATGGGCCAGGGACTAGATACAGCATTCAAAGTCACACCTCCATGACCCACTTCCTCCAACTAAGCTCTGCCTTCCAATAATCCATTCATCTGTAAACTCATTAATGGATTGACTCAATTATGAGATTAGTGCCCTAGTAATCCAATGTTATTTCTGGGAGTCTCAGTCTAGTCAAGCTGACAATCAAAATTAACTGGCACAAAGAGGTAAAGTAACTTGCTCTTGATCAAACTGCTGATAAGTGGTAAAGTTAGGAAACTCAGATTATAGACTGACTCTGTAATCCATGGGCTTAGTCACTGTGCCACAGCCTGTTTGGCATGTGATACCTCTGATAAAAACCTGTTAACTTCTAGTCCTTTTTACATCCTTTGCATTTCATTTGTTGTGTTTATGGAGTCTGCCTTTTGGCCCATAGCCAAGAAGACTTCAAACAAGGAGTGCCCCAGGAAAAGTGGTCTTCCCCTCATATGCAGCAAACCTCCACAAAAAAGGATCTAAACACAGTTAAGAGCCAACTCAGAAGCACCGGCAGCAAGGATGGAGGAGAGGCAATAATTACCAGAGAAATGTAAAGGAAGACTTGGCAGGTTTGTGACACATGAGGAAGAAGAGGCCAAATATCTCTGGCTTGTGTCATTTTTCATGTAAGCAGTGATGCCAGTCACTGAGGTGCAGGTCCAGAGGGAAATGAAGAGTGGTGGGGAAAGCAGCAATCATCACCATTAACCTCCATGGCACAAGTATTGTGCGACAGTACTTTAGATTTAGAAGTCAATGTCATTCATACAATACCCATTGGAGGGAGGAGGTAACTACTATCAGTATTTTCTTTGAACCGTGAGAGGAACATGAGGCTCTGAGACCTGCAAGAACTTCCCCAAAGTCCCACAGGCAGTAGAAAAACCACGATTTCAATCCAGGTTGACTGGCCCAATTTCATCCATGCCACCAGCTTGTTGGAAGGGCATTGCCTGTGTTTTCTTGCTCTGTCTTCTATTTTAATCCTGATTGTTGCCTGCCTCATTGGTTTCTGATTTGCTGGTTTTCCAGAGTCTTAATTTTGGTTTGACCCCTGATGCTGGTCATCTATTTGACCATGAGTTCTAACATTTCTCTAATCTTCAGTATGTGAATATTGCCTTCACCTTCACACTTCACTTCTCTCTATTCTCTGACTGCCTCACCAGAATTAAAACACAATGAGTTAAAGACCTTCCTCCATATCCTACCTATTACTCAGTCTCTTTCCTTGTATTCTTCTCCAGTTTAGCCCTGAAATGAATATCAGAGCTATAATTCAATTTCTTTCTCGAAGTTTTGGTATATATTTGTCTAAATCAGTGTTTCTGTGCGTATGAATGTGTATATGCAGTGACTGATTGCACAAGGTTGAGGGAACGCTTGATGGACAAGAGGGTTGAATGGTGAATATGCCCAAGATTCTGGAAAGTTCCACACAATGAAGAATGATCTGTATTCTATCCACTTTTTGTTGCCACCTTGCACCTATTATCTGTGTAATTTTAAAAATCTCTAAATGACTGCTTGTACCTAGAATAAAAATGCTTTACACAAAAAGTCCCAATATTTGTGTACTGCTTTAGCATATGCTGAAATTTCCAGTGATAAAACTGCCATCTAAATTGAGAGAAATTTGTGCTTCAGTTTGTTTAGAACTCTTCCAAAAGTTATTTAGTTGTTTTTTAAGTATTACATTGTCAACAGCCACACTTACAGTAACTGGGTCACTAATGAGATGCCCTGTCTGTGTCTGCATTTGTTACATTCTGTTCTTGGTCTTTCTATTTTGTGCAAGATTCCTTATATATTCTCAGGTCTTTTAGTATGGAATCGCCTGAATATTTCAAAATTTATAATATAATTTTAAAATTATCTATTCTTTCTCTCTTACACTAGAGTTGGCCCCTCATATATTTGCACACACATGCACATATACAAATATATAAAATTAAGAATGTAGTAGATATACTGTATATTAGTTTTCTTGTTTTATTTTAGTATAGTGTAGGAAAGAATTTTTTAGAAATATGAAAGTTTACTAAAGTGCACTGTCTTGTTTTGGGTGCTTTATATGTATATCTCAATTAATCTTCAAAAAACCTGTATAAAATGGACATTATTTTCACTTTTATTTTAAAGATGAAAAAGTAAAGAGGAGTTAAGTAAATTTCCCAGCATTATACACTTAGTAAGTGATAGAACAGCAATTGAAAACTAAGTTTATCTTATTTCCAATGCAATACACATTTAGCTACTAGTAATGTGGTAATATTGTTTAATACTTCTTATTGGTTTTAAATTATGCTTAGGATGATTCTCAGGTGATAATATTCCAAATTTTGCGGTTCCATGAGAAATTACAGATAAACTCAGGATCACTGAAAATATTTAGGCATGCAGTTGGACATGTCTGATTAGTGGGCATGCACGTGTGTGCACACTCACACACACAGAATGAGTTGAATCAAATTTCATTATGTCTTATTCCTTGTTTCTTGTGCCCAATTACATTATATTACGCTTGAAAGTGGATTTGTTCAAATCACATATTCCGTTTTAAAAAAATAAGACAATAATGGGACAGTTAATATGATGATATAAACAAGTAGGGTACATCTGGACTATAGAAATCCTCAATTTACAAGCAGTTGAGTAGCAAAATTTAACAAATAAAGATCTTGCATTTTTATGCTTTACATTGTATATTTGTGTCAAAAGTGTATAATAATAATTTGTCCGATTTATTGACAAATACGATTTGCAAACATTTTTCCACCACACACCCATCAGCATATAGCCACATTAATAAGATTACGTGACCAAAAAGTGAAACGCCCAAACATTTACTAGCCTCCTTTAACAATATATGTTGGGTATAAATACACACCACACATCTGCCTTATTTAGAGAAATCGTTCACTCATCTTTCCTGGTATAAATGAAGTCTCAGTGATTTTTC